TTCCCAACTCTCTCCTCCTCTCTTCCCAGCCCTCCTCCCCACTTCCCAGACTCTCTCCTCCTCTCTTCCCCTTTCTTCCTCTGACCACTGTGTATTTATTGAACGTATTCAATTCATTGAATACCTAAACCCAAGCCGCTTGCTCTTTCTCATCTCACGGTCTTTCCCCCTTCCTGTTAGCCTCTCTTTTTCCATTTGTGCCGCCCAACCTAAAGCTCTACCACCTCCAAAACGGGAAGACCCTTCAAAGGAGATGGGAGTGAAATTCTAAAAATTCATATGGGAGAGGTTTAAAAAAGACTTAAAGTCTTTTTAAAAAGACTTTAAGACTTAAAAGTCTTAAAAAAGACTTTTAAAAAGGCTGATGTAGTGGGCGGTGCCTGTGGCTCAAAGGGGTGGGGCGCTGGCCCCATACACCGGAGCTGGCAGGTTCAAACTCAGCCTGGCCAAAAACTGCAAAAAAAAAAAAAAAAAAAAAGGCTGATGTGGTTTCCCAGGAAGCCCTAGGATAAATTCTGGTATAAAATAGACATCTATAAATAGAAGGGGAGGGAGAAAAAAGAGGTTTGGAGGGTGGAACTCCCAGGCCCTGAAGTTCTAGAACAGTGTCAGGGAGACTCAAAGCAGCAGGTGGAAAATCTTACCAACTAGATAGAGCAGGGAAAAGGCATTTGAAGATTGTGTTCCGAGCCAGTCGATGAGATGAGGTGGCTTTCCATTGGAACGGAGAAGGTGATGGTAACAAGGAGATTTGAAAGAGGGGGGTGAAACGATCTCTTCTGTTTGCTGAAATATGTGCTCTGCTGAGAGGAGAATTATGGTTTACATGAGAGTGCAGTTGGGCGGGTAGTGATTGGCTGGGGTGACTGTACCTTAGGTGGGGAACGTGGTGGGGGGAGACGGAGGGATCTATCTGAATAGAGATCTTTAATGGTGCATCACAGGCCTCTGCCTGTTCATGTTGTTATTAATGTTTGAACTGCACTAAAGATGACATACTTAGCGGATTTCCAGAAGCCTAGTGACTGCGTTACAGAACAAAACTGGGATCTAGGGAGATCTTGATAGGCTAGAGTTATGGACTAAATTCTGCAAGATGGAATAGATGAGGACAAAATACTCAGTCCTTCTCAAAGGCCTCAAATTCGTTAACACAGGCCTAGGGTGAGTGTAGGATCTAGTTCAGCAATTGCAGCTGTGAAGAAGCCTTGGCAGTTTTCATAAACAGAAAGCTCAGAGTGAGGTTGGAACCCCCTGGGAGCTCTGTCTTCCCAGCCTGGCCACTGCCGTGGAGGAAGGACCAACTTAAGTTGGTCACGTCCAGTTCAGGGCAGTCAGGGTGGTATCGTTCCCAGCGAGACCCCTAACCATTTCTCCTCCCTGCTGCCTCTCCCCCAGTCCTGCTGTCTGTGACCCCAGACCCACCACCTGTTCCCACCCTTCCATGGCCTTCGTTCTTCTCCCTCTGGTCACAGAGAGCTCGGGGAGGGAGGCCTGTGGGGCTCTGCAGGAGGAGCTCTGTGTCCTCCACACACTCCTTGCTGGGCTGAACCCTTTCCTCTGGGGTGGCATGGCCTGGGAACTGACCCCAAGGACAGTGCCTGGTACCCGTTGCCTTCTGCCATATTGAGGTGACTAGGTGAAGGCTAAGACTTCCTGAGAACTTTCCATGTGCCAGGCACTGTCTAAGTGCTCATTTCTTTTCTTTCTTTCTTTCTTTCTTTCTTTTTTTTTTTTTTTGTTGAGGCAGAGTCCCACCCTATGCCCCTGAGCAGAGTGCAATGTCGTCATAGCTCACTACAGCCTCAGACTCAGGCTGTAGGCATCCTGCTGCTTCAGCCTCTGGAAGCCGCTGGGATTACAGGTGCTCACTGCAGCTCCCGGCTAGGTTTTTCATTTTTTTAGGAGTCAGGGTCTCATTCTTGCTCAGGCAAGTCTCAAACTCCTGAGCTCAAGCAGTTCTTCCTCCTCAGCCTTCCACAGTGCTGGGATTACAGGCGTGAGCCACCACGCCTGGCCCAAGTACTCATTTTTTCTCCCAGAAATTGTGTGAAGAAGTTGTCATTATGACACATACCTTATAAATGAGGAAATTGAGCTCCAGAGAGGTTAGGTTAAGAGACGTGGCCTCTTGCTGCCTTAGCTCTGGGAAAGGCCAGGGGAGGGTACAGAGCTGGGGACAGGGGCCGTAAATCTCCCCACAGCCCACACTTTGCTCTTGCTGCTCTCCTCATCAGGGTCTCCCCTCTCTTTCTCTCCAGGAAGGAATGTCTTGTGAGTTCCTCAGGGAATGACAACACGGACAATGGGTTGCCTGGCTCCAAGGCAGAAGAGAAACCACCCACAAAAGTGTGAGCCCCTGCTTCGGGCCAAGCAGCTGTGGGGAGCCTCCCTTTCTGAAGAAGCTGATGCTTGAGCCCCAACGTGCTGAGACACCTACTGCTTGGCTCAAACTGTAGTCTTTCTGGCAGGAGAAACTGGGGTCCTGCCCAGCCTGGCCACCCCTTCCTGAGCCAGGGCTCCCCAGGGATAAGGGATGCCCAGGGAGAGCACCTGTGGAAGGTTCTGGAAAAGAAAGGAGGTGCTGAGGCGGTGTGGAGGGGCTGGTCCCTGACACCTGGATAGATGGTCCCTGACACCCCCTACCCTGTAGAAGCAGGACCTTGCTTCTCCTCCTGATTTCTCTTCAAGAGGGACTTGGGGGACCCACGAGGGCTGCCCCAAGAGCTGCTGTGTGTGGCTCCATTTGGAGGTGGAAGTGGGCTGGAGGACTCTGGAGGAGACCTGGGGCAGAGGGCTGCTGGCAGAAGGATTTCCCTAGTTTCCCAAGTGGGGAACTTCCCTTTTCCTCTGCCCCTGCAGCTCTCAGCTTAGTCCCATGCTCCTAGCCCGCTCCCCTGCTCAGTTTCTAAACCCTCCCAACTGGGGCTGGCCGCCTTGGTCTTGAGGGGTCCCGTAACCCCCACCCTGCTCCTCTGCCTGTGAGTTATTGAGGGGCTCGTGGCCCTTGAGACTTTCCAGAGCCCTGGAGCACCACCCACACCTTTCCTGGCATTTCTTCTTGGGGAATCAGGCTGCAGAAGTCTCAGGCCAGTGTCTTGGAGGCCTCTCTGCCACTGGAACGCCCACCCCAGCCCTGCCAGTGCTGGCAGCCCCTCCTGGGCATGGCAGGACCATCGCCACTCCTGGGCGCTCCGGAGCCCAGCTCTCCCCTGCTCCTCCCCATCCTCTGCAATAGTGGGTGCATTCTCTTGCTTGAGGGGTTGCACTGTCAAACCTCTCATTGGCTGGCCCCTCCTGTGCCTCCATTAGGCCCTCTCCCTTGCCCTGGGCCTGTCTTCACCTCAGGGACCCTCTTCCTTGGGATGAAGGGGCCCTCGGGTTCCCAGCTGCTTCCTGCTCAGCTGAGCCACCGCTTCCGCCCTGAGGTTGGGGGGAGTAGGGAGAGGGCATCCATAGCAACTTTGCTTTCCCAGGTCTGGTTTGCACACCCCTGTGTGGGGGGCTTGACTGTGCCTTAGCTCCTGACTTCCAGCTCTTGCCCCCCATCCCCTCTGTGCTGGCATAACAGTAAGGAAGGCAAGGTGCCCTGCCCTCCCTAAGGTCATGGAGGGGGCTGTGAGGCTGGAATCATGCTGCTGACAGCTCCTTGGCCAGTGATGACTCGTGGAGACTTCTGCCTGGTGCCCCTGTTGGGCTCCCAGACAGGGGCATGTGGTGATATTGGAAGGGGGGTTTCCTGATGGGGCCGTGTGGGAGGCTGTGACAGTAGACCTACTCCTTGCTCCCCTTTTGAATTCTGACACTCCAGCCTCTGGGTCCCTAGGATGGGAGGGGAGCAGCCCTCTCCCTGGGACTGCCCTTAGGGCTCTTCCTGCCAAAGAACAGCCACAAGCTTCCCTGAAGGTGGAGGTGGGGGGAGACTGAGGAACAGGAGCACCTGCCGGTGCCCGAGACGGTTCCCAGTGTCCCTTCCCCAGCCTGATAGGCTCACAAGTTCCCCCTCTGACCTGCCTCTGCTCCTCTTGTCCCCCACCCAACCTCTGGAGGATTGGGGTTCAGATTTTCCCGGCTTTGGGAGCAGACAGATCAGAGCCACTAGCCATTCCGGAAACTTCTTATAGCTGCCTTCACGCAAAACTGCTTTCTTCTCCCTTTCCGATGTCAACATTTGAAGAGGCGGAACTCCTGGGGTCTCCTTTTACTGTCTTGAGAGGAAGCCCAGATGTATGGAGCGGGGAGAGGAGGGACATCATCCTCTTCCTCTCCTGGGTCCACTGCTGACTTCTCAGCGGGTCACGAAGGCTCCCTGGGCTCAGCTCTTTCCAGTCAGCAACATAATAATCCTCACCTAGCTCACAGGGTCGTTGTGATGCTTGGCAAATTTTGTCGAAGATTTTTTTTTTGGTTTGGAAAGGGATCTGGGAATCCAGGTGTTAAAATTGGAGGAATTTTTCCAGATCCGTTCTAGTCTCATCTCTGTGTCCCATCCCTACGACACTCACACACACACACAATCACACACTCTTACTTTCCATCCTGCTCCCTTGGAATTATTTAGTCTTTGTAATATTAGAAACCCTGATTCTGTTGCTTACAGCTTCCTGTCCATGGCTCTTATTTGATGGTATTCAGCAGATGTGAGGGAGACTGCAAGGGGGACATTTGTGATTGTCCCAGTGTCTGGAGGCACTACTGAGATTTAGTGGGTGGGGACCGAGAATGTTAAACTTAGTCCCCACAACAAAGAATCACCCCATCCCGGTGCCAGCATTATACCCATGGAAAGACACCAGGGTGGGTAGTGTATGGGCGAAGCCATCTTTCCCAAGGAGACCCTCGGTGCATGGAACTCTAACCGGGTTCCCAGGCTGGTGAGAGTGTTCCCAGGGCTTGTGTGTCGCAGAGAGCCTTGTACATAGTAATCTTGGGAGACCTGAGTGCACGTAGCTGTGTTGACAGTGACATCAATGAGACCAAAGACGAAGTTCCAATCCCTTTATCTTTGACCACAAAATACGATGTCAGCATTCCAGATTTTGGGTTTCTCCCCATGTAGGAATTGAGCAGAAGGCAGCTGGAATCATCTTGTCATACTAGAGCGGACTGGGAGGGCAGTGACAGGACTCTGACTTTACCTACGTCTAGCTACCCAGACCTTTTGTGGCGCGAGGGGGGACAGGAGTGTGCTGCTGAGATGGCGGGAGGTAAGGTGTGCTTGTGTGGAGTGGATGTGGAGTGCACGTGTGGGAACGCACACGTGTGCAGGCAAGGTGGGCGTGTGGCAGTGTGATGGAGTGGGTAAGCGCTGCACGGAAGGGTGATGTGTGATGTGAGGGACTCTGGACCTTTCAGGAGTCACCTTTCCACGCCTATGCTGTGTGTGTTGGGCCACCGGGAGACTGAGGAAGGATGAGACAGAGGGGAAGATCAGCTGGGTTCCATCCCTCCACGACTGCATCTCATCCTTCCCGACAGCTGCCATTGGAAGGCCGGGGGGAAGGCAAGGCAAGAGGGGGGACTTCTCGGGAAAATCCTGTAGCTTGCTTCACTTCGCTTTGTCACAGGTTGGAGTCACTCTCACCTCCCACCTGACATGCAGTGCTTTTGACTATCTTATGCATGGTTTATTCCTCTGGCTTGGATGACAACAATACCCATAGTCACTTTTCCTGTATAACAATAGATCAAATGATACAGCGAGGGCCTGGGGAGGCGGCAGGAGCGTGGGGGTGCCTCTGGGGAGCACAAGTGTACACACACCCAGCACCGACTCGCGTGTAAGCACAGAATGCATATGATCAGACTTTCTTGCCTCTACAACAGGTTTTGCATTGTAGAATTGTATTTAGCTTTGCCTTGGATAAAATAAAAATTATGTTTACTAATTTGGGGCTTGGGATTTCCATTTTGGGCTCATTGGCGATTGGGTTCCAGTTTTATTTCTTGATAGCCACCACTGTACTTAGGACAAGTTTCTTTACTTTCTCTGAGCCCCAGTCTGTGTCTAGAACGTTCCTTGCCAAGGTGGGATAACCCATGTACGATGCACAAGAATGTCTGGCGTAGTCACAGACGTTCCAGTTGTATTCCTTCCAATATGTTCTCTGGAGAAGCTGCAAAGGTGCTCCTTTATACTGGAGTCATTGCCAGGGCCCTCCTTTCACTGCTTGGTCACGGTTTGGGGACCACTAAATGCAATAATATGTCCTTCCTCCACGCTCTAGGCATAAGGCCAGGTGGGGAGGAATTGGGGATGTGAACCAATGTATGTGTGTACTTATACCTTGAAATTCATCACACCACATTGTCTTACCATTCTGTATTCCTTTCTTTTTTTATTTTTTATTAAGTCATAGCTGTGTACATTAATACTATCATGGGGTACAGTGGGTTGTTTCTATACACAATTTGGAATACTTTCATCCAACTGGTTAACATAGCCTTCATGTCTTTTTCTTAGTTGTTAAGACATTTATATTCTACATTTAGTAAGATTCACATGTACCCTTATAGGATAAATCAGAGGCGTGATGCCACCAATCACCCTCCCTCCACCCATCCTCCCCCCTCCCCTCCCCCCATTCCTTTCTTTAATGGATTCATCTCAGACTGCATATCAAAGGGTTCTAGACACTACTCAAAAGAACTTATTGAAAGATTTCCCCCCTCAATCAAGGACCCCAGGAAGGCAGAGGTCTGGGAGGTCCTTTTTGTCAGCCCTGCTTTCTCCAGCGCTCAGCTATAGCAACTGTGCTGAGTGCTCCTGCCCTGAGTGGCTTCTCCATGCGGCCACTAGCCTGTCTTCAGGTCCTTCCTGTTGCCTGGGACCTCCAGCCACCTTCCCATCTGCTATGTAACTGTTGGACTTTGATTGCACTTTGGAATGCTGTGCATTGAACTTGAAGTACCCCTGTCTGGATCAGCCCCAGGGTCTGGTTAGGTCCTCATCATTGCTCTGTTTCACCTTTACTTTCTTTCTCTACCCAACGCCATTAGAGTTGATAGATGACTTAATAACTCAAATCAAATTAGGAACTGGGACTGCCCTGGGAAAACCTGGGGAAAGAGTTACCTTATGTTGAATCCCATGCCAGCCCTGTGTTGACTCAAGAAGACTAAAGTACGCCTAAATTAAGGGCCCCTAATTTGAGTTGGTGGCATGCGTGCCGATCAGGTGGAGTTTAGGGGGGGTCTATAAACAAGAAAATGAAGGTAAAAGTGTACATATGTTCTTAGGCTCTTTCAAAAGAGCCCTTGTGCAAAAGCAGGGTGTTATCCCTCATTCTCCTGCATCGGTGTCAGAAGAGGAGCGGGTTGTACTTCACCTCCCTCCCTCTCTAAACCTGCTTTCT